GTGTCGGCCCCAGCGGGGCCGTGCGCCCATGCACGCTTTCAATGTGCACCCCAAAGGGGCCGTGCACGCTTGCACGCTTGCAGTGTGCACCCCAAAGGGGCCGTGCGCCCGTGCACGCTTGCAGGTGTGCACCCCAAAGGGGCCGTGCGCCCATGCACGCTTGCAATGTGCACCCCAAAGGGGCCGTGCACGCTTGCACGCTTGCAGTGTGCACCCCAAAGGGGCCGTGCGCCCGTGCACGCTTGCAGGTGTGCACCCCAAACGGATTGCGTGCCCTGCACGCTTGCAAGCGTGCACCCCGCTGGGTCTGTGCACGCGTGCACGCTTGCAGGCGTGCACCCCAAATGCTCCCATGGGGATGTGAGCTCGCAAGCGTGCACCCTAAAGGGTTTGCATGTGTGTGTGCGCTTGCACGCGTGCACCCTAAAGGGTTTTGCATGCAGGTGCAGGCTTGCAAGCGTGCAACCAAAAGGGTCCATGCACACGCGCACGCTTGCAGGCGTGCACCCCAAATGCTCCCGTGTGGATGTGAGCTTGCAAGCGTGCACCCCAAAAGGTCTGTGCGCGAGTGTGCACTTGCAGGTGCGCACCCCAAAAGGGCCGCGTGCGTGTGCAGGTGTGCGCGCTTGCAGGTGTGCACCCTAAAGGGTTTGCCTGCAGGTGCGTGCTTGCAAGTGTGCAAGCAAAAGGGCTTGTGCACGTGTGCACTTGCAAGCGTGCAACCCAAACGGTTTGCGTGCAGGTGCACGCTTGCAGGTGTGCACCCCAAATCGTCCCACGTGGATGCGAACTTGCAAGCGTGCACCCCAAAAGGTCTGCGCACGTGTGCATGCTTGCAGGCGTGCACCCCAAACGGTTTGCGTGCAGGTGCACGCTCGCAAGTGTGCAACCAAAAGGGGCTGCGCACCTGTGCACGCTCGCAAGTGTGCACCCCAAAAGCTTCACATCCACTTGCACGCTTGCGGGCGCGCGCCCCTAACGCTCTCACGTGAGCGTGTGCTCGCAGACGTGCGTCCCAGAGGGTCGGCGCGCGTGTGCACGCTTGCAGGCGTGCACCCCTGAAGGGGCCGCGTGTGCCCCGAAGGGTCTCGCGCGAGGACACGCTTGCAGGCATGCACCCCGAAGGGGCTGCGTGCATGTGTGTGCTTGCAGGCGTGCACCCCGAAGGGGCCGCATGCATGTGCGTGCTTGCAAGCGTGCACCCCGAAGGGTCTCGCGTGAGCACGCTTGCGGGCGTGCACCCCGAAGGGGCTGAGTGCATGTGCACGCTTGCAAGCGTGCACCCCGAAGGGGTTGCGTGCATGTGGACGCTTGCAAGCGTGCAGCCTGAGGGGTTTCGCGTGAGCACGCTTGCAGGCGTGCACCCCGAAGGGGCCG